GAGGGTGGGGGAGGGGAGGGTAAAGGGGAAAGAGCAACCAAAGGACTTACATGCAGGCATAGAGGCCTAACCAATGGACACGGACAACGGGGGGGTGGGGGTGGTGGTGGAGGGTGATGTGGGGACAGGGACACATATGTAATATCTTAATCAATAAAAAATATATTAAAAAAAAAGAAAAGAAGCTTCGAGATACATGTCTCTTCTGTTCCCTGCCCTCATGAGAGCCCACATACCTGAGCCAGCATCCATCATCATCCCCTTTGGTCGAAAGAGGGAGAAATCCCAGGACCCTGCCATGGGCCCTGGGAGGGATAGAAGGGTGAATTGGTGTCACTGTTTTTCTTTTCACAAGGACCCTCCCCTTGTATTAAATGTTTGGCGTGGCCACCCAGGATATACACATGAGCAGAGAGAATCTGGATAAACTAGTCCCCAAGTCATTCTGAAAGAAGCATCAAGACAAGGTTATCGCATATAATGAGGACAGTAATGAGGAAGGCATGTGAATATTAGGTGGGAGTGATGAGGTGTGTTTAACACAGGCATTACATGAGATTTATTATACATACTCTCCATAGACTGTTATTGTTCAAAGAACTAAAATTTGAAAAATTATGTTAAACTTCTAACAAGGCACTTTGTAAAGTAGAATTAAAAAAAAAAAAAGATCTTAGCGATAAATATTGCCAGACATGCTGTCCGTGTCCGGAGAAATCTAGAAGACACTTTGTAGCAAATCTTCTAGACCCTTTCCTAAACAATTATGTCACTGAACACAACTGCAAAATGGATAGGTACCCTCTAATTTGGGGGATGGATATGAGAAGGCCTTTTGTGATTTTAAAGGCTGCCCTTTCTAATACCCTTTGATACACTGAGGCTAAAATTTCCCTGGGGGTGAAAACCAAACTCGTCATTTCCTTTTGAAGTTTAAGTCCTAGAATGTTTGTCCTGAATGGAAGTGTTTGCATGGGGTCTTGAAAGGAAACTCATCATGAGATGGGTGGTCTGGCCTGGCGTCCAACATGAGGTGTGTAGGAAAAATTTGGCACCATCATTGTATGTAGCTTCGGCTGGAAGTACCTCTAGATTTAGCAAACTGGCCTTGGAGATATGCTATGGAAACAATGGCTGGGCTGTAACATATAAGTACAAAAAAACATAATCTTGATGTTGCAACTGAGGCCTCTTCAGAGAACTGAAGCAGCTCATCCATGAGGTGTGTAGGAAAAATTTGGCACCATCATTGTATGTAGCTTCGGCTGGAAGTACCTCTAGATTTAGCAAACTGGCCTTGGAGATATGCTATGGAAACAATGGCTGGGCTGTAACATATAAGTACAAAAAAACATAATCTTGATGTTGCAACTGAGGCCTCTTAGAGAACTGAAGCAAAGTAAAGATGCTTCTGATTGAAAAGAAATTTTTCTTTAAACCAGGTGGCAGTCTCGATTTGGCTCATGGGTTATACTTTTCCAACACTGACAAATTTACTACACCAGATCATAGACTTTTTTATTTCTTTTTTTTTATTGTCTACTGAAGAGCTTTTTATTGTTTGTCTGTTTGTTTTGTTTTTTATTGTTTAAAGTATTACAAATAGTAGCACATATGTCTTCTTCTTCCCCCATTCACCTCCCCCTGGTCTCCCCAACCCCCCGGCACATGCCTTCACCCGCCTAGTGTCTGTATGCATTGATTATGCTTATATGCATGCATACAAGTGCTTCAGTTGATCACTTACCCTCACCCCCGCAGCCCTCCCCTGCCTTCCCGCTGAAATTTGACAGTCTGTTTAATGCTTCTTTGTCTCTATTTTTGTTTATCAGTTTCTGTTATTCATTATATTCCACAAATAAGTGAGATAATGTGATATTTTTCTTTCTCTGACTGGCTTATTTCGCTTAGTATAATGTTTTCCAGGTACATCCATGCTGTTACAAATAGTAAGCGTTCCTTCTTTTTTACAGCAGCAAATAAAGGACTTAAAGGTAAGACAGAAACCACAAAAATCCTAGGAGAAGCCATAGGCAACAAAATAACAGACATTTGTCATGGCAATATCTTTACTGATACAACTCCTAGGGCAATGGAAACTAAAGAGAAAATAAACAAATGGGACTACATCAAAATAAAAAGCTTCTGCACAGCAGAATCTGCTTGGGGACAGATCATGGAGTTACTGCCTGGATTTTGAAAGCTGGATTGACTAAGTTTGACTGAGCAAGCACCCTCCCCACCACTTATTCCTTCAATAGTTCAAGACAGAAGGGAAAGCTGCAAGGTCTCTTGAGATTTGCATTTTGTGGCAGTCTTGAACATACGACACTGCAAAGCATTGGGGTGAAGATAAAAGAACTTACCCCCAAACATTTAGAGCTTTTTAATACCTCATAGTAAAAATATTGTTATTTTCTCTTTCTCTGTCTCTCATTATATATGCAGATAGATAGATACAGATATATATGCCAGGCACATCTTTATGTATACCTGTGTGTGTGTATTTCAAACCACTGGGCAGTATTAAGATATTTACTTAATATAATATAAAGTTTAACATACTGTTAATAATTTAGTAACTATATTTTTATTTTGCATAGATAACTTAGAAAATAGTTTACTGGGTATCTTATTCCATTAGAAAGTGTGGTATATGGGGGTAGGGAATTTGTATGTCTCTTTGAAGTCATGTCCTAGCCCCTACAACAGCGTCTGGCTCATCCTTGGCACTCATGAAGTGTTAGTTGAATGGCTGACTGAATGACTGAATGAGTTGACATGAGCTTGAAGTGGTTCTAAGTCAGTTATATCAGTTACTACCAATTAATTTTCAATTTGTCTTACATATATTTTTCGAAAACATAGGGTATGTACTCGGAAAAATATATGGCAGTTTAAGTTTTACAAAGAATACATATGAAATGCTTTATAATGTTAACTTTTGTTATTATAATTGAATAATTTTAAAAACTCACATGAAGTGATATTGAAATATGTTGTTATGACAGACCTTTTATCAAATATTTATTAAATTCCTTTAAAATGTATATAAATATCCAGGAGACTGTGAGGCAGAATTGTAATACTACCATTAAAACATTTTCTTTCCATTTATGTGTGTCTGTTTAATGTTAAAAATGTCTCAATAAAATTTCAGGCAGTTGCCTCATTTCTCAAATAAGATGGCTAGTGGAAAGAGTATTGGACTGGGAGTCAGCTGCCAATATTCTCAACCATTTTGCTGATTTTGTAAATTAATCTTTTCCTAGAGAGCAGTTTCCTCATTCATAAAGAGGATAAAAGAGATGCTCTCTCAAATCCTTTCCAGTTTTGAAATTTTTTTGATCCTAAGTATCTCAGTGTTTGGCCCTTTGTCTACGAGCTTCATTAAACTCTCAATCGCCAGGCAAAACGTGCAGACGCTTCCCCCGTGTAGAACGGGACGTACCTGCATTGCTGTCGGTGCCTGTTAACTCCTGGGCAAGGGCTTCGTTTTCCGTTTGCCTCAGGACAGTCACAAACGCAGAGAACCAGTTTTCTTTCTGCACAATCCTCCTCAGTAGCTCTCTCACACCTGCCTCGTTCCCATTTTTTTCTGCAGCAGAAATCTGTTTTAAGAGAAAAGCAGAATTAAAAAAGATCAAACATCCTCTGAATGAATTTAAAAAGGAACTACCTTTAGAAAAATTGAGCAATTAAGCATAAGTATAAATAAAGCCCTGTTTCCAACACGAAAACAGCAGGGCCACTTGTGGCAGCAAGTATTTCACCTCAGTTATTCTGAGTAAGAGGTGCAAAAGAAAGGGCCTTTAATCTCCAGCCATTTTACCTCTGTTGGCATCCATTTCTGTCTGTAGTTCTAGGACCTGATTTTTCCTTTTAACTCATAGGATCTGCAAATGGGAAACAAAACATTTCTTATCCAACTCCTGTTTCTTGACTATCACCATTTATGAAGTCATTACTATCATCACATATTCTTGCCTACTTAATATTTGCAATATTTATCATTACCATAATATTTTTCTTAAATTGGTATGTATTTCATATTATCTGAACATTTTATTTCTATTATCCCTCCCCCTTTTTTTTGAAATAGGGAGCAGAATTATTTCTACATCTATTTGTTACAACCGTTAGCTTTCATTAAATTTCCCCTTTAATCTAAGCAAATCTTTCTAAATGTGGATCATTTATGAAATGATTATCACAGTGCATCTCCCCAGTTCTTAATAAAGCACCAAACATTTGGAGAAAAGAGGAATACAAGCCACATTTCGACCAGAAAAACGATCAGACAGGACATCATCAGCTTGCTGTGTCCTTAGGCAAGCTGCTGTATCTCTCCGGGCCTCAGTTCCTTTATGTGTAAACTGAAGCAACTGAAAAGAAATGTCAGGCATTCTCCATCCTTGTTGCACTAGAATCACCTGAGGAGCTTGGAATCACCTGATGTCTGGGATCTACTCCCCCAAATTCTGATTTGTTTTTGTCTCTTCTGGGAAACTAGAAAAAAAAATTCTTTTTTAATCCTCACCTGAGGATATTTTTTCATTGCTTTTTAGGGGGAGTGGAAGAGAGAGGGAAAGACAGACAGAAATATCAATGTGAGAGAAACACTCAATTGCTCGCCTCCAACATGTGCCCCGACCAGGGCCCGGGCTGAGGAGGAGCCTGCAACTGAGGTACATGCCTTTGATCGGAATTAAACCCGGGACCCTTCAGTCCGCAGGCCGACACTCTAGCCACTGAGCCAAATCAGCTAAGGCTAGGAAATTGTTTAAAAAGCTGGTTTGGCTCAGTGGATAGAGCATTGGCCTGCGGACTGAAGGGTCCCAGGTTCAATTCTGGTCAAGGGCACATGCCTGGGTTGTGACATGCCCTGGAGCCCTCCCACTGTACCTCCCTGGCTGGCTGGTCCCCATCGGCCCTGGGACTGGGCGAGACGCCCCGATCGCCAGCCAGGCTGAGGGACCCCACCCATGCACAAATTCGTGCACCGGGACTCTAGTACTGTTATAAAGGCTTTGTATATATTAACCCAGCAACCCTAAAGAGTGTAACAATATTAACCCATTTTACAGATTAAAAAAATCCCAGGTGCAGAGAAGTCCAGTTACCTCCCCAGGGATACACAGCTAATTAAATGGATGAGGTAGAACTGGATCCCAGCAATTGACTTCAATGCTATCTTCCTATACTATAATTATAGGCAATAGTTGTCTCTAATTTTATGTTCATTTTCTGGCAAGAAGGTTTAAAATGCTTACTTGAATTTCATAAATTGTAGGTGATTTCAGTTCATCTCTCTCACAGCATTTTCTAAGCAGATTATTGCTTATTTCTTACCTTTTTCTCTAGCTTCATTAATCTCCTAATAAAAATTCTTTGTCTTCAAAAGTGTTTGTAATCTCATTATTATTATTATTATTAAGTAATTTAATCACAAAGAATTTTCCTAAAAACAAGTCAGGCACTGTAATAAATACTTTGGTTAAAAACCCAAGCATTTTATGTCCACTAAATTTTCTTTAACTGTTAATGAGTTGATTTTTACTGTAAAATTACATTTGTCAAACTTGTTTTGCACTTTCTGAGTTTAGGCATTTAAAGATTCTTATGCCATTATTTCCTATACGTGTTTTTTATCATTTGAATGTAGAGCTACATATAATACCTGTGCAATTTTGTCAGCTTCATCAAGATTCTGAGTTGGGTGTTTTTTTGCCCTGACCAGTTTGGCTCTGTGGCTAGAGTGTCGGCCTGTGGACTGAAGAGTCCCAGGTTCGATTCTGGTCAAGGGCATGTACCTTGGTTGCGGGTACATCCCCAGTAAGGGGTGTGCAGGAGGCAGCTGATGGATGTTTCTCTCTCATGGATGTTTCTAACTCTCTATCCCTCTCCCTTCCTCTCTGTAAAAAAATCAATAAAATATTTTTTTTAAAAAAAGACTCTGAGTTTTTAAGGAATATCCCCCTTTTGGGTGCTAGAAAAAAATCAATACTCATTAAAGTAACCACCCATTTTTTAAAAACTTAATCTGTTCTCCTAAAACCCAGTAAAGATACTAGATTCCACCAGATGATTGCTGAAATTCTTGGGAGGCAAATATTTAGCTTTGAAGCTGCAACAGGATTCCAGTCTCCATACACTTGTCCCTCCTACCCATATATCACAGCTCCTGAAAATGGTCTTAGGTTTAACTTTGTGTGCAATGACTACCCAAACAAACTTATGTAACTGATTTACTTATTCATCGATTTGGTTTAAATTTATAGACTGGCACAAAGATGCCATGATAGGGAAAAGATTGGTGACTAACAAAGGTCTGTGTTTTTATGGAGCTTATGTTGCAGTGTTGTTCAGTGTTTAATCTTCCAACAAATAGTGAAAGAATGTCTAGCTTATACTAGATACTGTTTTGAATATTGGTGACTAAGCAATAAGTACAAGAGTCACTTTATGGATCATTATAATAGAACTAGAGGCCCGGTGCACTAATTCATGCATGGGTGGGGTCCAGCCAGCCCACCCTGATCCGGCCAATTGGGAGGTTAGCCGGTTGGCTGGCTGGCCCTGCTCCCAATCAGGCCGGTTGGCCGGCCACAGTGTGCACCATAGCCACCGGTTGTTCCAGTCGTTCCGGTTGCTTGGCTTTTATATATATGGGTGATAGCTCACTGTAGCGAGTGCCCCTGTACTGACATGCTTCGGTTTTAGGATGCTAATTGGACATTTTGGCCCATTCGCTGACTTAGACAGCAATGAACTCTGGAAAAAAGAAGGGGTCACATAAATATTTCCATAATGTCGTAATATCAGTCCGCACAGCTCAAGAGAGGTAAACTAAAAGACCAAGTAAAATCTGTCTGCTGGAAACAGGAAAATAAATAAAAGAAAATACAATTTTTTTATAAGTTCTAACTACTTAGTTGAATACTACTTTATGTTGTTCAGAAATCAAATTTTGAATTCTTATGTTTATCATCCATCTATTCCCCAATGGCTGATATGACTCATCATATCATATGTTTGTATCTCTTATTCCAGACAACTCTTTGAAAATAAATTGATCAATCACTTAAATATTAACCAATCACTATTTATTAAGTACCAACCCTATACCTCATCTTGGCTAGGTTCTGGGAGCTTAAAGATCAAAGTTATAGTTTCTTCTTCAAATCACAGTTTAATCCAGGGACTTTGAGAAGCAGATCTCAATTGCAACATGGAGATTTACCTAAATTCTCTAATTTCTCTTAATTCACAAGGAAATATAACCAAATGAATAATAATAAAAAAAGTCATCATCATCATCATCATAGTAAAATAGCTTTTTACTATTTAAACAGCTTTTTCATAAACATGATTTTGTGTTCATTAATATTCTGAGAGGAGAGATTGTACTATATAATAAAGAGGTGATATGCAAATTGACCATCACTCCAACATACAAGATAGCAGCCCCCATATGGACACAAGATGGACAGCAGGGGAGGGCAGTTAAAGGGGACCAGGCCTGCAAGGAAGGGAAGTGGGGGGGACCAGGTCTGCAGGGGAGGGAAGTTGGGGGAACCAGGCCTGCAGGGGAGGGAAGTTGGGGGAACTAGGTCTGCAGGGGAGGGAAGTTGGGGGAACCAGGTCTGCAGGGGAGGGAAGTTGGGGGTGATCGGACCGGCAGGGGAGCAGTTAGGAGTCGATCAGGCTGGCAGGAGAGTGGTTAGGGAGTGATCAGCTAGCAGGCAGAAGCGGTTAGGGGCAGGTGAGCGGTTGGGAGGCAGCTGTCCTGGATTATGAAAGGGATCTCTGACTGCCTGTTTAGGCCCAATCCCACTGGGCCTGAAAAGACTGTCAGACATCCCTTGAGGGGTCCCAGGTTGGAGAGGGTGCAGGCTGGGCTGAGGGACACACATACCACCCTGTGCACGAATTTCGTGCAACGGACCTCTCGTTATTATATTAATTCTCATGGGTAATCGTAGGATCAGGGAACTTAAAAACTTGGTCCAAATTAATACATATGGTAAGAAACAAAGATATTAAGCCCAGGTTTTTCCATTCCAAATTCCCATGCTTTTCTCATTGCACTTTGCCATTTAAGATAAGCATTCATCAATGACCTCGGTACCAATAGCTTCTTCTAAACCTAGAATGCCCTTCCCATCATCCACCATAGCTTATTTTTTATTCTGATGATACAATTGAAATTATGTTTACAAAAAACATTCCAGAATCTCACAGAGACACTATTCCTCCTTAGAGAGCTTCGAATGCATAGCTCCTCTGTCTTTCAGGGCCTCCTTTGAAATATGAACCTGGGGGAAGAGTTTGGATTGCTTTGGCCTCAACTGTTATCAGTACACAAATGTCCTTTTACTCTATATCTTCTTTGTGTCAACTCCCTTGCATTACTGCTAGCTGCCTCCAAGCTTGCCAGAATCAAGAAATTGGATAGAATCTAGCTGGAGGAAATTCAATCCAGGCAAGACAAAAGTGATGCTGATAGGCAGACATATTTAGAGTAAATAAGGAGAAGTGCTGTTTCACTGGCAATCGGGACACCATCCCCACCAAACATAAACAGCTTTGTGGTGTTACTGGACTCTGTTGCTTCTGGACTTCCTAACAGCTACTGTGGCTGGAAATGCCATCTTCCATCTCCAGCTGGCTTGAAGGCTGCATACTGTCTTCCAAATTAAGATTCTGCCACGGTGATGTACACATTTGTCATATCCAGCTGGACTACTGTAATGCGTTCTAGCTGGTTCTCAATACACAACACTACATAAACGTTACAGACAACAGTGTAAAGTAATTTGCTTGTTGGGAAAACCAGCCATCAAAATGAGACGCAGGCTTAGGTCTTTGGACGGGCCGCATGGCTGTCAAATCTGTAAAGGAGCATTAACTTTAGTCACTAAGACTAAGTCACATCATAGGCTGATATGAGTCCAAAGCCCAAAACTTTGTAATGAGGATAGAAACAATAAATTAAAAAAAAAAATTAAAAAAAGAGCGAATGAAAGAAGAAAATGTCAAATTCATAGCATGGTAGATAGAGCCTTTGATTTTTAGTCATGGGTTTACTTCCCTGCTTGCCTTTCAAAATAAGACTTTTGACCTATGACCCACCCTGAATATGTCTGATTTAAATGGGTCATCATTTCTACACTTCCTATAGTACATTCTTACTCATTGAAAAACAATGAACAATAAAACATTACATTAAGTGTAAAGTCACTTGTGAAATTCACCCTATCAAAACACCTAGAAAACCCACTACTCCTTCAGTAATATGAAAAACTACAACTAGAGACATATTTTTTCAATAAATTATCTCCAATTATGATTCTCAAAGAATGTTGAAACTTTAGAGGGAAAAAAAAGCATGTGTATTATTTGTAATTTCCCTATTTGGAACAAGACTAAATGGCAAAATGTATAATATTAGCCAGAGATTGGCAAATATTTTCTCTAAAGACCAGATAATAAATATTTAGGCTATGTGGGCTATATGGTTTCTGTCCAAATGCTCTTGAACTGCAAAAGCAGTCATAATATATAAATGAATGAGCATGACTGTGTTCTAATAAAGCTTTATACACACTGAACATTTTTAAATCTAAAAACCATCCTTAGGTTGGGGACTGGCAAAAACCAGTAGCAGTCTGGACTTAGCCCATGGGTCATATGTTCTGATCCCTGTTGTATGGAAGTATACTAAATAAGACATAAAATTCCATACCAGCAGGCCCTAAATCACTAGCCCTGCCACTATCTTCCTAAGAAACCTTGGGCAAGTTATTTAACCTGCCTCAGTTTTCTCATCTGTAAAACAGACTTCATAACATTATACACCTCAATGGATTACTCTGAGCAAGAATTCTGAATATACATTTTGAAAAATATACTAACTGCACATAGTAAGTGTTCATTACATAGTCTCTACTAGCACACATTCATTCTAGAAGTAACTCTTTAGCTAATTTCAATGCAAGAATTAGAAAAAAAAGCCTTTTTGTGTTTAAAATTATGTTTTATATATGACTAGATATTCTCTTCCAGAGCAAGGAGGGATCCAGATGTACCCAAAGATGTCAAAGAACATTTGGAACGGGGCCAATCCACGGGCCAGCCACAAGTGGCAAGACCGGCCTAAAAGGCCAGCTCCACCTGAGCGGACACCTACCCGACTTCTGTCCTCAGCGGTCAACAGCTCCTCCGCCACGCACCTATCCAGGACATCTCTGACCAGCAGCTTCTCCACCAGCGTGGGCTGCAGGAGGGTCAGCAGTTGGAAGCACTCATCGTTCGCGTTCTCGCTGGAGGGAGAGGGCAGGTCCGTGAGCTCAGGGTCCATGTAGCGGGCGGCGAGGGGGTTGCCTGCCCGCCGGAGGGCCTCCACGAACACGCGGGTCCAGCCCGGGGGCCAGGCGCCCTTCGCCAAGGTGCTCAGGAGCAGCTCCGCGGCGCCCATGTTCCCGTGGGTGGTGACCCTCGTCTGGATCTGCTCCTTCGCCTCGGCGGGCAGAAAGGTCAGGTAGTCCAGCACGGGCTCCACCTCGATGTACCTCCTCACTCTGGCCCGGAAGCACGAGAGGAGGTAATGGAAATTCTTGTCCGCCGAATGCCCATTCGTCATGGTTCCTGCTCAGAGAAGGGAGAGGTCCCCCCACCCGGACGGACAGGTTGCTGCTCTCCGCTCAGCAGGTGCTGTCAGCGCCGTGCCTGGGGGCAGCAGGCTGCGCAGCAAGGTGCCTGGCAGCGACGGGGCTGCCCGCAGAGCCCCCGATGGTCCCGCGGGGAGGA